AATGTGTATCAACTACTGAAATGACAATCATGCAGATATGGTAATAGATACGACCAAAAAGTAAGCCAATATTAAGTGAACTTTGTTGGTTTTGAATGATTCATTTGGATACTCATTCATTCACTGAACTTATTTAACTAGGAAAAATAATAAAACACTAGTATGTACTTATGCAAAGGCCTAATCAAGTACATTTCTGTACAGTATCCTTTATCTTGAAATAATTTAAATAGTACTTTGGAAAGTGCTTTTAATTACTCAAGTGTGTTACTTCATTGATTACCGTACACCATTAATTCCTATCGAACCGTCTAACTTATCGACTGAGATGTGTATAAAATTCCGAAGAACAATAGAAGATGTGAGAACTAGGAGAGAAGGTGAAATAGCTTCATATCAACAGCTGGTTGTGGCCAAGATGAAACTTAAGCTAAAGAATCACCGGACAACTGGACAAACAGCATTACAAAGGTTCAATACAATCCTCGTTCAAAATACTAACAAACTCAACCAATTCAAGATAACTGTCAACAACACGTTCCAAGCTTTACAGGATCTACTGAAAGAAGAAGAAACTACCATGGAGGATAATTGGAAATGAATTAAAGAAGCACTAACTTCAACGTGTCAGGAGGTTCTTGGTCACAAGAAACATCATCACAAGGAATGGATCTCTATGGGAACCTTGGATAAGATCCAAGAAAGGAAGAACACGAAGACAGCAATTAACAACAGCCTAACTAGAACAGTGAAAATCAAGGTACAAGCAGAGTACTGAGGAGTAAACAAACAAGTGATGAAGAACGTTAAAACTGACAAGTAGAATCACATGGAAGAACTAGCAACGACGGCAGAAAAAGCTGAAAGAGAAGGAAATACAAAACAACCTGATGAAACGGCGAAGAAACTAGCGGGGATATATAGTAAACCAGAGAGACTCATCAAGGACAAAGAAGAAAATACAATTACGGAGATTCAAGAACAGAGGAAAAAATGGGCAGAATACTTCAATAAACTGCTGAATAGACCAGCTCCATTGAATCCACCGGACATCGAAGCAGCACAAAAATACCTTTCCATAGATGTTGCTCCACTGACGATCGAAGATATGAGGATGGAAATCAGACAAATCAAGAATAGGAAAGCAGTAGGGCATGACAATATGCCAGCTGAAGCACTGAAGTCAGACATTGAAGTAACAACAAACATGCTTCACCTTCTATTGAAGAAGATGTGAGAGGAGGAGCAAGTGCCAACGACAGGCTGGAAAGAAGGAGATCTCATCAAGATACCGAGGAAAGGACATCTGAGCAAATATGATAACCACAGAGGCATCAATTTGTTGTCAGTGCCAGGGAAGGTTTTCAACAGAATGTTGCTGAACCGGATGAACGATACAGCAGACGCCTGACTTGGAGATAAACAGGTTGGATTTCGTGAGGACTGGTCGTGCACAGACCGAATCACGACACTACGGATAAACAATCAGTTGAGTAGAATTCATCACTATACATAAAATTCATTGACCATGAGAAGGCTTTGACAGTGGGGACAGGAGAACATTATGGAAAGTTCTTCGACATTTTGGAGTTGCTGATAAGATTGTCAAAGTCTTGCATAGAAAACAGCTTACAGAGGCATTCCAAGTAATGACTTGAGTCAGACAAGGCTGTCTGCTCTGCCCTTCTTTCCTTGGTGATTGAATGGATTATGATGACCTCAACATTTGAGGGAAAGCATGTAATACAAGTACGTCGAGAAACAGTCATCTCCGAAGATTTCAAAGAAGAACTGATATCATTGAATTCAGTGAGTGTGATAGTACTCAAAAATTTAGTTGAAAACGACAAGCTAGTTTGTTATTCAGAATTATTGTTTCACCATTGCACTCAACCTGATAAACATGATGGAAGGCAGCACTATAGCGAAGTCCAAATAGTCCTTAAATGGTTGGTGTATAGGTTATGTAAAATTTTCTTATGAATATGGACGATGCTCGTTTCATTACGAGGCTTCAAACATTTGAAAACTATACAGATGCCTCCGTTGGTAGAAATATCTCAATCAACAATCCTGGAAGTAAAAACTTTTCAATCTGTTGTGTTAGTGGGCCGTTTTCTAGTTTCGCGAGAAAAATATCAGAAACTAGAAAACGACCCAGTGACACAACAGATTGAAAAGTTTTCACTTTATTGCCGATAATATGGACGACACGTTCATCCTATGTAACGACTATAGTGACTTAACGGATAGACTGCAGCTATTCAATACCGTCCTGGAATTCTTTGGATGTCGCTTATTTGTGTTCAATCTACTTCACAGACTATTTCACTGACAGCAAACTTCCTACTTCTGTAGTTTTAGAGAAGCTTAAAAGGTCTCCAAGAAAGGTTTAATTAAAAACAAATAAAATAAATCTGAAAAAATTTACAAATTCCCACTTGACATGACAGAAAGCATAAACTAAATATTTTGAATAAGAAAGTCAGACTTTAAATAGTTTATGAATTAAAAGTGTTATGACGGTGGATTATGAACTAAACGAAAGCGCATGATATATGGAATCATCATCACAGTCAAAATTAAAAATATTGATATTTTATAAACTTTGAATTAGGTAGAATACTATCCTCATGTATACCTTCCGTTTGTCGAGATGACTTCTTTATTTCTCTATTCATATAATGTTTAAAAATGTGATGTATTTAAGGAATACCTTAAGATTTGTCAAATAGTCATACTTATCAAAGAACTAATCTCATTCTTATACATAATTCACTTTGCCAAATTAGAATGTGAAGTGTCATTCTTCAACAGTTTGTAAGTATCAATGTTGTATAAGCAACTTATGAACAACTTTCATAGTTGAAATACAAAAAAACTTAAACTTGAATAGAGTAAGGTGATATGGCAAATAAAAGCTTAATCAATCGGAATACGAATGACATATGACAATGGATAATATTTTGACTTCAAAGTAATTACTGACTAATGAAGTGTTAAACGTCCTATTGGTTATGATTGAATCGTCATGATACTTGTAGTTAAAATGGTTAAATATTGGTATGCACTGACTGCAACCATATTTAAACTATAATTCCTAACTGTTTTCCTAGTTATCGATGAATATCTGTTGGGATAAAATTGTCTTTGTGTCGTTTTGCAGTAATCATCAACTCTTCTTCATGTCTGTTAGTGATACTGATTCTAATAAGAGATTTAATGAACGATTAACGATTATGTCGATTATATTTTTCAAAAACTGCAAGATGGAGCTAAATAATTGATTGTTGAATGAAGGAGAACTTTCCATACTGGTCTAGTTGTTTAAAATGAATAACAGATTAAAAGGATAGACTGAATAGTGGAACAAACTATTATTGGTTATTCAATTGAATTTTACTTACTGTAATAAACGTGACTTTCATAAACCTTCACAAATTATCAGATTACTTGTAAGTAGTATATTGCAGAGATGTTATATTTTACATTAAGTAGTTGGGATTTTACATTCAATCATAATAAATGTGAACAAATAGTGATGTTAAGTCGTATGTAGGTGAATATGTTGGAGGATTTAGATCACACCTGATGTTGTGCTATCAGATACAGGAGTGAAATTAGTGTGTATAGGCATCAAAAATTATCATTTGTGTGTCTAATTCGAACAATAAGTAATCAGTCATGTGAATCTCTCATTATTTATTGTTACTAATGAAGATTCCAAGAGTAACCTGAGACCCGACCTATAATGTTGAAGTCAACGTTACATTCAGATTGAGAAATTGATGCAGAATGGTTATCTGATGAATTTCTTCAATTGACAGAAAAACTCTCATAGGTTCACAATCTCTAGGATTGTGGTAAGTAGAAATATAATACGCACCACCCTGGTGTTCATTGAATATTACATTATTGATACAATTTAAAATTCACAGCACAAAGTATTTCAATGAGTATTTTATTTCTTGGTCGATTCTGATGATAAATATTATGTGGTCCCCATTCAGAGGTTAGCATTCCGGAAATCAACATCTGAATAGTGTACATTCCTTTCGATGCATATTGCTAGCAATTACGACGTGTCTGGGCTTTTTGATAACTTGGACAGTGGAAGCTTGCAAACGTTTCATATTGGCACCTAAATTAGTTTATCAATTAACAGACATAATGATGTGTTAAAACAAACTGTTATAGACGTAGAATACTTGTTATAACAGTCCTTTCACTTTTTACACGTATGTGCGACGTTAATTTACCTTCAACGAATATCTAAACTAGATTCCCACTCACTGTCTTTTCTACAGGACTTCAATACAACTCAGATCAAGAACACGAGATAAGCCTGACTAAACAGTCAATATCCAATATCCAACACCATCCAACAACAAGGAGCAGTCAATCAATAACGCCAATAAGTATAGGAAAATATACAACGCAAAACCTGTCACACTATCCGTATTTCTGACTCAGAAAACCAACCAATCATTACCATTCTCGCTCACACATCATAAACAAAAACTGATACCTTGGTAAAATATTTAGATTGCAGGAACAGGTAACCCAGATACTCAAGCAGGCTGCAACTGTTATAATATTTACTATCACAACTATTGATTAGCTACAGTGAATCCATCCTATCGATGTTGTTCTATCATGACAGTGAAATGTATTTCAGTCCTTCATACGTGTAGAGATGAAGCTACCACAAATTATACGAGTTTGATCAAATATAACTTATTTACCATACTAACTATCGGTAAACCATCAAGACATTCTGATGGGATTTATTACACAAATCAAAGTGACCCACATGATACAAAAAGATAATCATCAGACTGACAACTTAATGTTAATTTATTCTGTGTACAGTTTGGATTGAAAATTAAAGTAAGATGGTAGACAAAATGTTAAAGTTACAAGTCTATGGGACAAGTAAAAATGTCACGTGACAGTTTAATAGTATTTTATCAACAATAATTCGAAATTTCGGCCGCAATTCAATCCTCATCAATAGTCTTCGTTTGATCTGAACAACAGGTTTTTGGTGATCCAATTTTTCCAATTTTAGATATACAAATCATCAGAAATGAGAAAAGCAAGTAAACACCATGAATGATTCCGATACTGAAGCATAAATAGATCAGTATCACTTTATAATATTGCACAAGTATATTCAATGCATCAACGCATCCCTGTATATGTTAAATAAAAGAAACTACACAATGTTATGTAATTAAGGTGCAATTGTGAAGATACAAATGTTAAGTGCAAAGTATGCCATGGCATATTTGAAAAAGTAGATGAACCACCTCTCTGACCATAAAGAACAAAGATTTGTCGGGTTGATTTCAACATTCGTTTATGGGTCATGGAAAGTAGTCAGTGAATAATGAATAGTCGGTAAGCTTGAGATGAGAATGTTGAAAGTGATTTATGGAATTTAGTTTTATTGAATAACACGCTGAAACTCTTCTATGCAACACGTTTATCTAATTCTATATGAAGCTGTATTGAGTAAGATATGAACAGTGAATCAAAAAATCATTTAATATGTCCACATAACTCATTCGTTCGTATCGACTATGTCTATGATGTGATTAGTTGGAATATTTTCAATGACCAAATTGATGAATGTGATCCTTCTTTGAAAGGCAGACATTAAGATATGAATGTCATAAGCCTTAAAGAAGTCAGCAATTATAGTCACTGTGGATGTATGTAACATCTCACTTAGGATAACAGCTACTTCTACAAGCCTGAACTAGCAATAAACCGAAAAGTATATTGTAAAATCTTGTCTTGTTGAAAGAAATCTGTGGAAAGTATGAAAAGTGTCCTTCATGTAGTTTACACGATGGACTGACTTTAATAAAACAACTAATGAGAATAAGGAAACCATCGGTTATCCGTTTCGTACTAGAATGAAACACTTTAACTGTCCACATACACTTATTTATTAAGAAATAAGGGCAAAATAATGTGGTATGTTGGTGAACATCTCCCAGTATCATGAATTTATATATATGTAACTCTGCCTTTAGCTCCTCCGAGGGCTTCTGCCGGTCCGAAACATTGATAAAGGAGTAGGTTTAGGCATGGGGTTAGCGATTCCATTCCGTAGAAAACCAACTCGCTAAAAAACGTTAACCAGAAAAAATATTCGAACCATTTAAACTGTGCCCTGGGAGTTGAAGAAATGATTATGAGGTCTCATGATGAAAGCCGATTTCCTTCGGAGGCCATGGGGCTGATGCATCTTCTAACAACCAGAGCGACAATTTTTATAGGTACATAGAATGTTCGGACAATGTAGAAGATCGGAAGAGTCTTCCACATTGCTGCAGAAAAATTAGATATACATGCCATTTGTTCTCACTCTTCCAGAATCATACTCCGAAAATATAAAATATTTTTAGTTAATTATGCTTAATTCGAATAACTTTGAAAGTGGCTTTGATTACCAACATCAGAACTCAATGGAACTTATGGGTTGGCAATACATATCTGATCTCTAGTTCTTGTGAAATCTCTCACCACACTGTTATTGAAAGTGGGTTTTTTTGTAAACTTTCGTCCTATTAGGGTGTCTTATTTTCCAGTCCTTATCCTGTTTCCTACTTCATAAATTGACGTATATTGATTTTCAGTATAGAATTGTAAAGATTGGTGAGTTTTGATTGAGATCATGAATCGATCAATGTTAGACCACCATTGAAAACTTGGCAGCATTGGATGATCCTTTCGTCCTAGTATATTTATTTGAATATACATAAAATCAAATTCAGATAAATAGAACAACGTTGACAAGATTGATGTATGTAACATGGAAGTGAGGTACTCAGGATGTTTACTTTCAGCATCTGTAAACTTCACACTGAACATTACAAATATACAATGGTCATGTGGTTCTGGATAATTGTGAAAACAATAGTAATTTACTAAGTCGTTATGATCAATCGATTTTTTGAAAACAGGATGCATTATGAATGTGAACAAAGCTTGGTAAATCTTAATGTAACTGGATAGTTCAAGCAATGGACATCGCTTGGTTATTGTTGCATGGATATCATTCTATCTATGTTGACAATAACGTGCAGAGATGTCTCATCAAACATTTATTCAGAAATTGATCTATTTCATGTTGAATATCTCTCCTAACCAGGGACTTTCTCTTGGCTTCATATATATTTAGAGTGTTTTACAACAATCAAATATTTTCATAGTTGAAGTCATGAGTCATTTGAAGCTAGACAACCATGGAAAACCTGGAAGCACCGGGCGGCCGTTTCGTCCTATTATGGGACTCCTCAACAATGCACATCCACGATCCCGCACTCGCGAGATTCGAACTCAGGACCTACCAGTCTCGCGCCAGAGCACTTAACCGATAACAAGACGAAACAGTCGTCCAGTGCTTCCACGTTTTCCATGGTGGTCTAGCTTCAATTGACTCATGATTTCAACTATGAAAATACTAAATTCTCCAGAAAACCCCTTCTGATCTATAATTAAATGTTTACTTACCAGTGAATATGGTTTTATTCCAGATAAACATGAAGTCGGTATTAGTTGTTTGACGTGGAGATAATCATTAGATGAATCTGCACCACAACAATGAAACTATATTTAAAGGAATTAACAAATCCACCGATGTTTTATTCACCTACTCTTATTTGTAAATTATCGAATTCTATTTGATAACAAAGATTTGTCCAATATTTTTGAACACTCATATTCAACGAACGATGAGCTTCAGTGAAGAACTGTCAGCATGAAATTGATTAAGATTCATTGGACGAAGTCGGATTTGAACTCACTTGATCTTTCATTAACGTGGATGATGTTGCTATGCCTATTTCAATAAGCATTACAATAGTCAAAGTAAACAGATGCTAAACGTAAATGTTGGGATGAAAATACACCATAATCATTCATTGGTTACCAGATACATAATCATGTTTCTTTCATTCAATATTCTTAATATTCCAATACATGCAGCTAATATACTGAGACTTCCTGAGAAAGTAGCCGTTGGAAAGATGGGTGGTATGGTTGCTTGCAATATCCTCTTATATCCAAATAGTTTACTTGGTAGTTTCATACCGAATGCAATCACAATCATGCCAAATGTCTATATTACATAATAATAAAGAATGAAGTGAATATAACAGAAATGAACATTTCACTTACAATGAAAATACAGTTGAAGAAAACGATTAGTTTTGTTGAATATCGTCCAAGTATTGGCAAATTCATAGTTTCTAACTGAATGATATTGTAAGGGATCGCTTCAAGAGTTTCGTTTTCTTCTAGTTGACTGATTTTTACACTGAATCCCGTTTAGCTTTAATTATTGAAATACTGCAGGCTTAAAATAGGACTCCATAGATAGTTGTGTCATTCATTTTTTATTTCCAACTAACATATTTTGAGTACAAAGGGTGAAAAGGAATGAATTAAGCCTACGCATAATAAATGAATACGCTTTTGATGGATTGATATGTATACAGTTATGTGTTATGTAGATAATTAATGAAGCAATTCACTATGCAAAACATTGTTGTATTTGTATGCTTACACTGTCTCTGCTTACAATACATGTGACCACCAAAAGGAATCTAGTTTTTTTCGATTTCATATATGTATTCTGGTTTTAAGGATAACAATAATCATAAATACAATACTACTTAATTAGGTAATTGATGAGCTAAAACATGTTTCTTAAGTCAATCAAGACTAAACGACGATTGTTTGATTACCATACTTTGTGATATATCGATTGACAGAGTGCCCTGTTATTATATATGACGTGATATGACCGCCTATCAGAGAGCAGCCAGTGTTACACAAAACCGTATGATCAGTCTTGAGTACTTATCAGTCCTGCTATCTGTCTAGCCCAGCAAGTTAAGTCCAGAACACCAATAACAGCCTCTGTAATATGAATCATTATTCTCAAACATACTGGGTTTATATACCAAACAAACTGACCACATCGTACCATAAAGTAAGAGAACAACATTGGTACAAGATTTATCCAAATGTGGCTGTGAAAAGGAGAAACAGTAATCAATAGACTAGGTATAACTCAAGAATGGTAAATCGTACAGTAATAGTCTATGGGTCAAAATACAGCTTATGATAAGAGGAACACGAATACAAATAGTTGAGTTACTTAACAATTATACAATAGGGAATATATGCACCATATTTGTCCATAAATAGTTCTCAAAAGTTACCATTCACAAATCTCCACGGGAAATAACACTTTGTATTCATTGAATTATAGGTAAACCAATTGTTCAGTAGGTGAATGTTCATTTTACAGTGTACAACCGTTGAATATGAAACAAAGCCTTTTATTTATTGATACATAGATGTAATTGAACTTAGATACTTATTTTGCAGCATTTTCAATTTCATATCACACAGATCTGACTTCAAAACTGATAAGACACGAAAGATTAATCGTTTGTCATGGAGTTGAAGTTTTTCTTTGGAGATTCATTTGATTTATAAGTTATGCCAATGTCATTGCATTTTGTGTGTTGGGTCATTCAGATTGTTAACCTTTTTTTACTGTTAAGGTTGAATCGTATTATATGCTGAATCTCAGTAACTAACAACAGTCATATTGTAGTGAACAAGAACACTAGTTGAAGACAATCGAATGTATTTAAGCATCAATTACAGACTATCTCATTAAATTCTGATAAACATACATTAGTAAACAGTTGAATTGCAAAACAACGGTCTCAACCCTGACTGTTCCTTCTGTAAATATTAATCCATCTTCTTCTATTTCATTGTTTATACATTTTCATACCGATTGTGCTTCATTCCTGTTCTTTCCTTATCGATTTTCTGTCAAAGTACATTCTATGTATGACTATTATCATATACTACTTATGTGGCTATAAGTAGATTACACCACAATAATCCGCAACTTAACAATAAGCATGAATTAACGGAAGGCAATGATGTCATTGTGTGTTTGAACTCAGATTGCTATCTGCTTTGTTACATTCAACTGTTAATCACCAATAGTTTGTATCATATTTCATATATGGACTGAGATTATATACAAATTTATGAATAGTTTAAGTTAATATCAATGATCATCATAACAAATCTTCAGATAGAAATTGAAGTGTTCGAATCTCTTCACTAGTGACTCGTAGCTTGTCCTTTCAACCTCGATTTTCATATAATTTAGCATTGACACATTCTCTATAATCCTTCTATACTAGTTGTTCTTCTTAAGAATCTTTATTATTGAGAACCTTTCTTGATACTATGATATAAAAAATAAATAACGTCTTTAAGAAAGCAATACCAAACGAGGCCGAGGCTGAAAAGCTTTTTACTATCTTATCACGGTTCCAGAGACCAACTATTATGGAGCCATATGGATGAGTCCCTCTATCTTATGCATTACGATTTTAGAACCTTTGAACCTTTTTCTAACCTTGACAAGTTTTTGGAACATATAAAAGGATGTATCCACTCTCATTATTCGGTTTTGTATAATATATTTTTACTTTGTGCTGACTGTTTACTGGTTGGCTAACATTTCTCAAGGTCACTTAAGATTCATTCAAAGGTCGTCCATAAATTATAGTTTCGCCCAATACCATTCTGTTCAGACTTCAACCAGTTGTTACTTTTGTAGTTTTCATTTCAAATGACTTTATCGGTGAGAAAGTTTTTATAAACCCAGATATTAATTAAATAATCAACCTACCATCGAAAACGTGGAAGCACCCGGACGGCCAACTCGTTCTATTATGGGACTCCTCAGCAATGCGCATCCACGATCCCGCACTTTCGAAATTCGAACCCAGGACCTACCATTCTCGAGCCAGAGCCTTTAACCGTCTGTTGTGAGATAAAAACTCACTGAAGGCAATTGGTGAATAGTCGCTCATAATTCGTGGATCGGTTGAAGTTAGACATTAACACCGTTGGATGCTGGCCGGCTCAGTAGTCTATCGGTCAATTGCTCTGACGCGAGACTGGTAGGTCCTGGGTTCGAATCTCGCGAGTGCGGGATCGTGGATGCGCACTCCTGAGGAGTCCCATAATAGGATGAAACGTCCGTCCAGTGCTTCCAGGCTTTCCATGGTGATCTAGCTTCAATTGACTCATGATATCAACTATGAAAATAACAATCTATTTGAAAGATGAAATATAAAACTTGTTAGCCAGTCAACGATTATTATGTACATCATCCAAATGATCGTCATTTTGATTTATTTTATATAATTTATAGAAATGTCTTACTATTAGTTTACTTTTATATGAATATTTTGACAAGGTTTTTGAACTAAAGCATTTCCTACTTTAGAACTCCAGTTAATTTCAACTGCATAATTGAAAAGGATTTTCCTGTACAGGGTTTGAGGGAGAGTTTTGGTGGGTGGCTGATGCTCCTCCATGAGGCGTAACAGGCGAAAGTAAGTAAGTCACAACATTGAAACTGAAGATAAATTAATTGTCTTAAAAAAATTATAATTACTAATACAAAGTATTCAGTAATATATTACTTCAATTTACAGATTGCCAAATTCCTCACGATACATACATACATACATACATACATACATACATACATACATACATACATACATACATACATACTTATTTACTTACTTACCTAGTTACTTATGCCTGGTGCTCGCAATGGAGCATAGGCTACCGACCACCATTCTTCAACCAACTCTGTCATAGGCCTTCCTTTATTGTTCTATCCAACTTTTGTTCATTCTTCTCATATCTGTCTCCATTTCTCGGCGTAATGTGTTCTTTCGTCTTCCTCTTAACCTTTGTTCTTCAAGATTTCATGTGAAGGCTTGCAATGTGACACAGTTGGGTGATTTCCTCGTTGTGTATATTATTCTACTTACAGCGCTTCTTCCTTATTTTTTCCTCCTCTCGAATCTGATTTATTCTCTCCCACACTAGGTTGTTGCTGATAGTATCTGGCCAACGGATCCGAAGTATTTTGCGTAGACTGCTGTTAATAAACACTTTTATCTTCTGGATCATGCCTTTCCTAGTTCTCCAGGTTTCCGTCTCATACAGTAGATCTGTTTTGAAATTTTTATTGAAATTTCTGATATTGATGTCTGTAACGAAGGCTCGTTGGCAAACTTTAGGAAGCCTCAAGAAGCCTAGAAAGAACCGAAGACATTCCATCCAATCACCACTGGGGGAACATTCTAGATTGTCGATGTGTAGCTTCCCTATTGGGTGGATAAGAATGACCCCCTATGTGCCCATTGGCTGTCCGAAATGATGATTTACTTTCAGTCAAAAAGCTATAAATACATGAGATTTTTGTATCATATTTTGACACTGTTTTGGGGAATTAAATTCCTACGTACTAGTCTTCTGTCTTCTCTCTTGTGACGTTGCGTGTTCGATTGTTCAAGTGGTCTAGTAGTACGTGGCATCGTAAGAATCCAAGCTCTAGATATAACAATGTCGTTTGAAAGTTATTTTGACTTCCAGATATTCTTCAACTGTAGATATGCTGCTCTTGTTTTACCGATTCACGTCTTCACATCCTTATCAGATCCCTAGATATGTAAAGTCTTTTACCCCCTTCAAAATCATAATGAGTCATTAGGATTGTAAATTTTAGTTAAAAGTACATGCTAAAATATTTTTTTCTTAATAATAATAATTCGAGTAAATTTTCTTTCTCTTTTTGTTGTTTTTGTTGTCATGTGAAATGTTTTTAGCCAAAAAAACAGTCGGCTTTACATCATTAGTATGAATAGATTTCTTATTATACACACATACTTTCTCTAATATACACACTTTCAAAACTCTTCAATTGTATATGCCATTAGATATAGTAGATGCCGTCATATCAACAAATCGGTAGTTAAACACTACATATACAGTTGTGTACTTCTTTATATTCATTGCATGTTCAATGTGTTCAGTGATACGCAAGTATGTAACTATACTGTAAATGGATGTTGGATCTAAAAAGATACCTATTCACAAATCAAGTATTTTATAAACTAATCAATGGAATCACTCAATAGTTACTAAGATCATTTTCAGTCGATACGTTTCATAATTAATGTTCATTCATAGTTATACTTATGAATCTTTTCATTACAATTTGTAAAGATGTTAGTTATCCAAATGTGTTAAAGAGATCAAGAAATTTCCTTGAAAAAAAGCCAAAAAAAGTCTTTGAAGACCATGAGGAACATCATACCCAATCAGCATTCAATAGA